CATAGATAATTTCTCATTGCAAATAACCCGCATTACTTGGCTCGAATTTCAACGCATATAATCATTAAAAGCCTATTGGTTATCCTTCATCTTTACGGGTATTACTGTTGCATCATAGGAATGGACAGGAGGTAACATCCCCCACGGTGATTCTATTAAGTCTTTTCAATTAGGCTGTCCTTTTGAACCTAGATCTTGGGATCTCCAATCAACTAGGTTGGGTTTCTGTGTATTAACTTATCCATTCAAAGGCTTAAGTCTCATTTATCCGATGGTTTTTCAACTAACTCTCTATTTAATCCTTTGGTTAGCGAATCTGCAATGTTATCATTTGACTTTACATAGTCAATAGTGATAACTTCAGTTGAAAGTAGTTGTCTTATGGTATTGTGTCCACAAAGTATATGTCTAGACTTATCATTGTACATGTTACTCTGTGCCCTTCCAATTGCTGATTGACTATCACAATATATGCAAATTGTTGGCACAGGTTTTCACCATCTTGGAATATCCTCTAAGAAGTTGCGTAACCACTCTACTTCTTCACCACATTTATCTAGGGCTATAAACTCAGATTCCATGGTAGATCTGGCTATCACTGTTTGTTTAGGGGATTTCCAGGATATAGCTGCACATGCCAATGTGAACACAAATTCACTTGTGGACTTTGAATCTTTCATGTTAGATATCCAATTAGCATCACTATATCCTTCAATGATTGCTGGATATCTGGTATAGTACAGTCCAAAATTACGAGTATATCTCAAGTACCTTAGTACTCTTACTATTCCTTTCCTGTGATCATGTCCTGGATTACTCGTATATCTACTCAGTTTATTGACTATGAAGGCTATGTCTGGTCTTTTACAACTCATCAAGTACATCAAACTTCCAATAATTCTCTAGTATTCTACTTGAGAAATACTTTCACCTTTATTCTTGGATAGATGTTGACTTGTATCTATCGGTGTTTTAGCCATGCCGGTATCATCATTACTAACTTTTCTAGAATTTTGTCCACAAAATGTGACTGGCTTAGAACAAGCACATCTAATGTTCTTGAAATTTTGATTACAAGTATAATATCGGCTAAACTTATATATTTCACGTCAAATCTCGAATTTAACACGTTTTTAGTAGATTTGATCATCTTATCGTTGCTATCAACAATACGCATGCCATCAACGTAAATACATAAAATCACATAATCATTTGCAGTGTCTTAGACGTAGACACATTTTTCACACTCGTTGATTTTGAATCCACATTCCATCATGACATTATCAAATTTTTCATACCATTGTTTTGGTATTTGTTTCAAGCCATATAATGACTTCACCAGTTTACAGATTTTCTTTTCCTGTCCTCGAGATGAAAACCCCTCGAATTGTTCCATATAGACTTTTTTCCCTAAATCTTCATTCAGAAAAGCAGTTTTAACATCCATTTGATATACTTCAAGATTTCGTAGAGCAGCAACCGCAAGTATCATCCTAATAGATGTTATTCTCGATACTGAAAAATATGTATCAATGTAATCAAGACACCCCCACAACGATTTTTTTCATTTCCATAACTCATAAGGGGTTTTTTCCATTTTCTTTCGGGGCACCTTATTTAAAAGGTAATTTGCTAATAACATAGTTTCTCCCCACATGTTCTTAGGTAACCTAGAGTTTACTAACATCGCATTCATCATTTCTTTTAATGTACGATTTTTCCTTTCTGCAATACCATTTTGTTGAGGTGAATAAAGTGCGATTGTTTCATGTATAATTTCGTGTTGTGCACAGAATTTAGCAATTGGTGCTTCATACTCACCACTTCAATCACTTCTCAGTACCTTAATTTTCTTATTAAGTTGATTTTCAACTTCATTCTTATAAAGAATAAATTTCTCTATAACTTTATCCTTACTTTTAAGTAAGTACGCATAATAGTATTTTGTGCTATCGTCAACAAAACGTAAGGAAGTACTACTTGCCACAACTTGTTTGCACAAATTTTAAATCATATATATCGCTGTGAAATAAATCAAGTGGTCATGTATTCCGTTCAATTGATTTAAAGGATGACCTTGTCAATTTTGTCTCAACACAAGTTTCGCACTTATGTTTGGAATCAATGTGGAACTGATCGTTTGAACATCTCCATCACCCTCATTGAGTTTTGGAGCACTTTCAGTCAAGAATTTTGCAAGATTTAAAGTGATCAGATAAAATAGCATTTTCTGCTGCCACCTCTTGAAATTTAATCCATTAATTTGTCCCATTTTTCTCCATGATTAACCAGAACATTAACGATATGGCCAGTTGTTTGACTCACAACATGACTTGGCAATCTAGCTACAGTTTGAGTCACAAAAGAACTTGGCCATTGAGCCACAGCAGAGTCCATAACCTGATTTTCATTAGCCACAGTTTGGATTACATCCATGTTGGTTTATTTGATTTCCATTTCGTCGTCGTCTGAAAATGAAACAAATATTAGTTTCCAATAAACCAATATTAATTTTCCAATAAACCAAATGAAACAACTTATCTATAATAACGAATCTGTTTTAAGTTTGTTGGATTAGTGTTTCAGTACTAGATACCGGATTAACACACTGGATACCGGATTTACAGTTTTAATACTGTATTTACAACATATCGGATTGGAGCATACCGTATATGCAGTGAATTAAAACACTGAATTTTCACATACCGTTTTTGCATATAACTTTGAATATAACAGATTCAATTATAATAACAGATTTAATAATCTGACATATTCAATGATTTGTAATTACAGTAAGACGTAACAAGTAATTTAAAAAGAACAACAAAATATCAATATGCAAAAACGAGTAACAAACAAGAAAAAAAGAATTAAACAGTAACATTTTTAACCCGAGGTCTATGCTACACACAGTTTCCTTAAAACAAATTCGCCCCCTCACTTTCTGTGCTTGAGGTTTAAATTGAGCTTCCGTTTTTAAGGATACAACGGTAAAACTAGTAGATTCTAAGCACTACAGATACTATTTCGACGAACTGATTTAGTCTTTGAACAATACCACCTCCAAGAAAATAAAATTGTATCCAGACAGTTTTTTTCTTGTGTACTTTCATATCAATTCGTGTGTTTTTGAAAAGTGGAAAACAAGACATATAAAGACTTGGCTCTTGAGAATGTAACTTGCCCATTCATTTAATGACAATTACCATAGGAGTTTTAACAGTTTTAGAATATGAAAAGTCAGTTGAATAAAACAAAAATGAAACAAAACCGGGACACTCCTATGTGGCCAATTTTGCTCATTTCGGTCCGACATTCTTGTACGCATACAAGTTCAAGGTTCGAATCCTATTTCGATCCGTGATTTGCACCTCCCATGTGCTCGCACGTGGAGAGAACCTATATGATACACATGATTACACAATTTCAAAGTGCAACCATATTTAAAGTAGTTTTTGTTTTTATTAACTTCCTATGTAGGACAAACACATTTTTAGCTTTCCCACCAACACAAACTCCTTTTAATTGGCATACTTTGAATTTCAATTTCGCATTCACCCGAGCATCAATTTTAGCAAGTAAATACATGATTTCGATGTACTAACGTAGGAGAATACAAATAAATCTTTATATTTCAAAATAGCCAAAACGGGTCCCACTCAAAACTCATGCCAAAGTCAGCCATATACTCATTTTTTCCAACAGCAAGAAGTTGACAAGTTGAAATAATCCTAACTCTACTCGAGAGATTGTGAGATAATTGAGGAACATTAATTTTCAATAAGCCAGTACTTTTAATTTATGGAATTGGAGAATTTACAAATTGACAAATCATTTAATAACTTTATTTTAGTAATTTTAGTACAAAATAAAAAAAAAGAGGTGGGGGAGGGGGGAGGACAGAAGTGGAACATAATTTTAATCTTTTCCTTGTTAATGTTTTACTAAAGCCAAGATTACAATTTTCTTACTCCAGCCCATTTCTAAGTAAATAAACCGACCATTCAAATTTTGAGAAATTAGCGTCAATAACACAAAAATTATAGGATATAACAACACGCAGCATCTTTTTAGACTTCATTTTAAATGAACTGATCTAGCCTCTGCTTCTGATTCGTCATTTTACTATTGAAGGTGATCTTGTATTAGAGTAAGAGTTGAGTTCAAATTTTTTTCCTCTTACTCAATCTTGTTATTTGATTCTTGAGAATATTCATTCTTTCCAATTCAATTTTATTATTTAGTCAACCGAATAGCTAAGTAACACATTTTTTACCTTGACAAATGACATAGGTAAAGTGAAAGAATAAATGAAAGAGTAAATAAAAACCTATGATAATCCTTGGGTTTGTAACTCCACCTCTGTCAAAGGACACTCAAAAAAATTTCAATCATGTTGTATGTACATATTTTTTTGACAGACAATACTTGGCATGGCACCTTTGGAAGATGAAAAAAAAAAAACGAACCAATCATGTTTGGCCACGTTAGCCTTGATATTAATACGTTATAATTTTCCCGTATTTGGAGCTTTATTGATAAATTTTCTCAACTTGAGACTGGAGTCAAGTAATAGATTCTCATACTTGACGAAACTAGAGGAATAAAAATGAGTAGAGCTATTCCACGTCCATCATGGTTATATTTTAGTTCAACTATAGAGGCCCTAAGCTTGTCCAACACTCCACTCCCCACTTCCCATTAAGGCACATCATAAAATACAAATCTTCGCCCATGGACCATGGAATTTGCTAGACCACTAAATAGTAGTTAAGCCCATTGACATTAGAACACGTTATTAACTAATAGAGGAAATTACACCTACACCTGGAATTAGATATCCAATTTCAAAATTAAGATCACAAGTTTAACATTTCAAAAATTAGGTTTTATATATTTAATTAAATATTAATTATATAATTTCATCCCAATTAAAATAACCCAATCAAACCCTAAATTCATTCCACTTCTATCCTCTATCCCGTCCACATTTCCTCCATCTAGTCTCTGCGCTCAGAGTCCGCCACCGACGATTTCTTCTTCTCGTCAGAGAAATAACCGATCCTGCGTCTCTTCTCACGACCGNTTCTCCCTATCTCCAGTTCATGAATCATGTCATTGAATACTGCTTTTGATGGCTGCAATTTAAGATCCATAAGGATTTTGAAGAAACAGAAAGGGCTTTAATGAACTTGTATGTACCTTTATCTCGATGATTATTAAATGTATTGCCCGGTTTTGATTAAGAAATATTACAAAACGAAAAAACAATGAGGGAAATACATATTTGTAGTTAGTTTTTACCTGCAACACAAAGAGACCAGTGTGGAAGATGCAAGGATTGATGAATACTGCACAAAACTGGCCACATTGGAACAACTCATCTGTGTTTCTGAGGAAGAGGTTATCGGCATCAAGCATTACCACTCTGTCATAGTCCACTAGGTTCCATGCATAAAGTTTGTTCAGTGTTAGCTTGAATCTCGCCTGACTTCTATATGGATTCTTTAGATTTTCGACTATCTTGACCTGTGCACCATCTTCCTGTTCGCTGGACCACGAAAAAGAAAACTCGTTAATACATTTTCACATTTTGATTTCTGAATTCTAAAGCTTGATGTATAGATAAAGATCCTGACATGCAATATACACTAAGAAAATAGGCAACAATCATCAATCTATTATTGAAAACCAATTTTAAAGAAATAAATGTGTCTCCTCTCTGCTAGCTTAACCTTTCGGATCAACATAATATCAAAGTAGGCGAAACACCCGAATTCAAATCTCTACTGCCCATTATGAATATTGCACTCATGTCAGACCTTGTTGAATAATGAATCTGGTATGCACGTGAATGGACGTGTTTGAAATTGAATAAAAAACATAATCTGATCTCATCCAAATTGGTTTTATATTCTCAATTAACTAGCTGTTTGATTCTTTGTACTATGGATAACAAGACCATGTCATGCCAAAAAGTAGTGATACAAGACTTTTTCATTTTTTAATCTTTTAGCTATATATTTCAACGATTCCTTTTCAATAATCAAGTAATTTATACCTCGACAAATAAAGAATAACTCTTTAACCGTTCACCCGCCGTTTAGTCACCTCATCTAAAATCTCAAGAAATTCGACAAGGGATTATAAACTTATTTGTTGAATTTGTGTCTTTTAACTCGATTCCACATGTACGCTGGATTCATCAGTTTTCTTAAATGAGCGACTGAAAACAGTTAAACTCAAACATCTTTCTGTTTTAAGACTATATTATACAACCCCATCTCAAACTGATACTGTAAAAAATAAGTATTCTAACATCCACCCCTTTTCTTGTAAGAGCATTTTCATCCTGTCTTAAGTTTTTTGTAATGGACTCGTTCAGGAAAATACTAAAAAATTCCCACAATCGGAAGATGCAAAAGATAATTGCAATAAAAAAATAAGAGTTGACAAAGCGACAGATTAAATGTCGGCAATAATTAATTGAAATCACATAAATTTTATTTTGCTAACAAGGTTGATCTCGCAAGTCTCGTCCCCCAACAAAATAAGAATTCTAATTACGAGAGGCCAATTCTGCTGATAAAAGAGAAATAATAGAGACGTGGGTTTTCAAAAAAAATAAAATTCTTATCTGGAATTTTTCTCCAATAAATAAAAAGCCGTGTGTCCAAATTTGTATAGTTAGATAACCAGCCTGACCTTATCATATGCCAATTGGCAGAAAGACAACATTTTTTGACTGGACGAAATTATTATTTTTTATTTAACTCAAAATTCATAAACAAGTCAAAACAAAAAAGAAAAAGTTGACAACAATCTGCAAAAAGTGGGGGGGGGGGGGGGGGGGGGGGGGGGGGGGGGGGGGGGGGGGGGGGGGGGGGGGGGGGGGGGGGGGGGGGGGG